ACCAAACACAAAAGGTATAAAATTCTTGTATCCGATTAATTGCTTTAATATGGAAAGAGATGTATTTCGCACTCAATCTGGCTTGAGCACAAAATCCTTCTTTTTTTGAAACTTCTCTACGTTTGGAATAAAACCGGCTTTTACGGAAATATGCATTCTCTGTTAATATCAGGATAATGTCTATCTTTGTTTTTCATAACAAATAAATTTTTTTTATCAAATAATTCACAGAATAATCTCAGATTTTACTAATATCTCACAGCGTTATACATCACTTGACTAAGCGACATTTTATCGTTTTTAGAGATTTTCATGCAGTCTGGTAGGTAAAGGTGTAACTTATCTTAGAAAAAATGCAGAATACCGAAAGACCTAAAATACTATTTGTTTTAAAGGATAAAGCTAAGCGCCAATCACGTTATACGATTTCAAGTTCGATTTGCATCATACATCTAAGAACCGACTTAGATACATCAAGAAATTCTACAATAGAAAAAATAGATGAACCTACAATTTCGGGCCAGTGTCGTTTTCTAGATGTTAGTATAAAATTAAACGTTTATGTCATTTATTTTATATAGAATTTAAGTCTAACTAGTTTCGGCCCTTGGCCATCTTCAGAGACTCTACAAATAGATTAACATCTCTCATCTGATCCATTTTACAAACGACAGCGGTAAGTAGCGCTAGTTAGCATAAGATATCATTATGTTGCATATTTTTATTGCACTGAAACTAGAACTAACACAAGACTTAGAACTAGAATCATTCGGGTTTAGCCATCTTGAGAGACGTGGGACCAAATCCGAATGTTTCTAGTTCTCGGTCTAGTGTAAGTTCTAGTGGCAATGGTAGGTAGCGCTAGTTAGCATAAAATATTACTATGTTGTATATTTTTATTGAACTAAAACTGGAACGAGAACTAGAAACATTCGGGTTTAGTCGAACTGTCAACTTTAATTTTATTATTATATTCGTAATCTTCATAAAATAACCTTTAAAGTGAGTCCAAACTTGACGCATTTATCTCAAAAAACAAAAAAGTTAGAACTTTTAATTTTGACATATTTGCCAACCTCATAAAAAATCCTTTAAAATGAGCCCAAACTCGACTTATTTAACTTTAATATTAATAGAAATATAATCATTTTCGGTTTGAAACGTCAACGTCAATTTTGACATATTTGTCACCTTCATTAAAAAACCTTTAAAATGAGTCCAAAGATGACGCACTTATCTCAAAAAACAAAAAAGTTAGAATAAAAAACATTAAACCCTAAGTTAGCAACAATGAAGATAGCAATTTAATTTTTAAATATTAATACCAACCTTAATTTTTTATTCTTTTTTATTATATTTTTGTTTTTGTGACAAATATTAAGACTTATTATAAAAATTAAGAATATGTCAAAATGACATTGACATTTCAAACCGGAAGTTGCTTATATCTCGAGTAATATTGGAATTAAACGACTATTATAAATATGTCAAAATTGACGTTGACATTCTTAACCGGAGGTTGACCATAACTTCATTAATATTGAAGATAAATATGTCGTGTTTATACTCATTTTAAAGGATTTTTAATGAAGATTACAAATATGTCAAAATTGAGGTTGATATTTTAAACCTGAAGTTAGTTATCATATAATAGATGTTTTGTAACTGAAGTTAATCTAGTGTTAGTCACTTTTCCGCACTTTCTTTTTATTTTTAACGTGTTTTTTGGGTCATTTCCCATTGATTAAAAAAATCGTCGATTTTTAAGCCACATTATTATTCTTGAATTTTTTCCAAGTTTCTTAATATTTATTATTATAAAAAGCGCGTTCTTAAATTTTAACCTGTAAACATGTAACACTTCGTCCTTAATTTCATTTTACAACTTTTTAAACTTTAATTTTGTAAATTAGTAACTAATAATCTAATTTCAATTTTGATATGTGATCTTTTTTAACAAAACAAAAAGAAATATTAAGAAAGTTGTTTGTCAAATGGATGAGATGGGAGATGTTAATCTATTTGTAGAGTCTCTGAAGATGGCCAAGGGCCGAAACCGGTTAGACTTAAATTCTATATAAAATAAAAACCAGTTTAAAAGTACAAAATCAAACTCTAGATTATTTTCTTCAAAAATTTTTATACGAATCGTCATCATTTTGTCTCTAGTTTTAGTGATTAAATTTATGTCACGACTTACAGAAACAACGTATAATCGTAAAACGTAAAGAGTAACCAAGCGGCTTCTTCAGCCTGCCTACTCTGAGAAGTCTTATATTTTTAGAGAGATGAAAACGAAAATCCCGTTTTTCTCAACATTATTCATTTGTTGCTTAGTCAATCTAATATTATTATCCATTTTCATGACCAAACTTTTTTAACTGTCTTTACTTCTAGTTAGTGATGTAAACAGAAAAAAAACAAAGTGAATTTGTTTTTTTTTTTTCAGAAACATTGTTTTGTCTTAATAGAGACTAGGATTTTTTAATCAGAATCACAATGAACGTCAAATTCTTCTGGTCCTTCCAATGTGTCAGTGTCGTGTACAGATAATTTTTTAAAAGTACATTACAAATAATTGTCAGAACTATAACATAGACGATCTACATCCATGTTAATTATAGCTGTAATATCTACGTTAGAAAGTATTGATGAGCCACTTGTAATTGACATTTCCAAGTCGGTATTGGTGATTTGAATGGGAGCTGTACTTATAGTATCAACAATAGTTTCGGATGTTAGTTTCAGGTTATGGGCAATATCAATTACGTTAGCTGCTCTTTGGTTTAATAATTTATTTTGCCTAGACGTATGCAATCCCCCATAAATGCTAAAGTTTCTTTTGCAAGACGCTGATGTTGCTGGTAGTTTTACAAAAACCTGTCTACTATGCAGTGGGTAAGATCTCTAACGAACTTTCTCAGAAAATTCGCAATATCAGTTAACACAAGCTTTTCCTCCACATCAGCTGTAACTGTATGCTTTGTCGTGCGTTTTAGTTCTAATTTCCTTTTAATTTCCTTTTCGTAAATTGTTTTATTTTTTTTCTTTTTTCATAAAAAAAACATTTTTTGAAATATTATGAAAGTTTTTTATAATTTGTAAAAAAACCATGTAATTTCAGAACGTTTTTTTTTAAATTTGAAAAAGAAAACTTTTTTTTACATCACTAGTACTAGTGCTACAGTTACTTGTAGTTAGAATAGAATACAAATAATTTTCTCACTACTTAATTATATAGAGTTTCAATTCATATTGTATGTTTAGAAAACCAAATTCAAAAGGTATAAAATTCTTGTATACGATTAATTGCTTTAATATGGCAAGAGATGTGTTTCGTACTCAATCTGGCTTGAGCACAAAATCCTTCTTTCTTTGAAACTTCTCCACGTTTAGAATAAAACCAGCTTTTAAGGGAATATGTATTCTCTGTTAATATCAGGATTATGTCTATCTTTGTTTTTGATAACAAAAAAATTTTTTTTATCAAATAATTCAATCATAATTTTTTATTTATTTTATTGATATCTCATGCTATTAATAAATTATTGATAATTACAAACTATTCATTATTATTATCCATTTTCATCACCAAACCTTTTTAGTCGTCTTAAGAGACGCTCGGCTAAACCCGAATGTTTCTAATTCTAGTGATACTGTTAGTATCACTAGTTAGTATTAGTTCTAGTTAGAGATGTAAACAGAAAAAAAACAAAGTGAATTTGCTTTTTTTTTCAGAAACATTGTTTTGTCTTAATAGAGACTAGCAAACTTGAAGCTGAAAAATATAGTATTTTTTAATCACTAGCCCAGAACTAGAAACATTCGGGTTTAGCTATTCGTCTCTCAAGACGGCTAAACCCTAATGTTTCTAGTTCTAGGTCTAGTGTTAATGTTAACTTTATACTAATTGTTATTCGTGCCAAGTTGTATATTTTAACCACATCGAACTTGTTTCTGAAGAAGGTTATAGTGCTAGTGTTAGTTAAGAAAACGAGATATTTTCAGTTAATTGCGATATCCCAAAATAGTTTTTGCTGAACAAAGAGTCCCCTTTATCTCTTACATCCCCTTTATCACAGAAAACATCTTTCCGTCATTCTCCCCTAGTTTAATTAACTTTCAAAGATAATATACAATCTCATATGTACGAAGCGATTTCTTTACAAAGAACTATTTTTTTATTAACAATAAAACAAAATAAACGACAAAGTCTTTGGCCATTAGTGACTATTCGTAAGTACACAGTGAGATTAATTTTATTGAAGTTTGAAGTATCGCACCGTAGATGTCCCTACACACAAAGGGATTGTTCCTTTGCATGTATCAAAGCTCTTTGATAATAACTTAATTAACTTATAAAAAATAATTGTGTTATTTAATTATAATAAATGAAATAATTATTAGTTTAATAAATAATTTTTATAAAGTCGAATAACTTTCTGTAGTTCGTGAAAGTTTGATTAAAACAGAAAGTAAATATTTAATGTAATATTTAGTTGCAAAGGTAAATAATTAATATTTCTCGACTTTCCATCTTTTTACTGTTTACTTATTAAGTAACAAAAACAGAAAAGTACCAACAAAGATAATGGTTTTTCAGATGCCGTATTTCCTTTTAAAGGATTTTCAGCAAAGCTCCATTAAAAAGTTATAATTTATTCAATATTCATTCTTTGTCTTTAACTTTCAATTTATAATTTCTGATTTTTCGAGTAATTTTTTTATGGGAATCAATAAAATAAACCGATATAATATTAAAGTTATATTAAAAGAAGTAATTGAAATCGTCTTTTGAAAATACTGAAAAGTCTTTTAACTATTATGTACTAGATTGGAAATAAATCACGTGGGAGTAAGTAACAAGCTTTCAGAGTATTTTAGCGTCAAGTATCCATTCGTGTCAAAGAGCTTGGTAAAATTCGCAATTACTTCATTCATTATGAGAACGTGTCAAGGAAGATAAAAAATGAAATTAAATCTTTTCTCTTAATCCTTACCTTTTCTAAACATTCCTGTCCAATGGCTTTCGGATCCACTCTAACCTCGATAACAACAGAATTGGGTTGGCTAATAAGACACCACATTTTTATTTTATAAACGATTTTCACTCGATTACCGTAAAACCGAAATATAGAGAATTTTTATCGAATTTATAGCGATTTTTTATTAATATTTTATATCCTTTCGTTCCGGATTTTGGGTTATTAATTAGTAAAACCCACTAATCATTTGACAAACTCGCAAAGTTCTATAAGGTTGACAGAGAAACGTTTGTTGTATATAAAACCACTTGCGCATTGTACGACTACGTCCATACTATTGCACAGCTTGGACTATATTGAATGGATACTGTGCGCGGAGCGTGCTTTTTATACGTTGTATGAACCGTGCTACGACAACCGGATTAGGTTGTTCTTCCTCTCGGTATTGATTCGCAAGGTACGACTTGGACTTTGGACCTTGAAGCGTAGTTCGTTACTAAAACGATACTCGGAGAGAACGCGCTCCGTAGTGGAATAAAGATAACGAAAAACAGCTGGCTATGGAAATACATATACATGCTGTATAACACAACGTGGGTTAAAAGGAAATATAGTCCAATTATGTGGAGGTGGAATATATTTTTTTTTGTTAATATATGTTAGTTTATTCTTGTAGGTTGTGTTTTTTCTTCTCGTTGTTGCAAACCGCAAGTATAAAGAGTAAAATGGATGTTAATATATGTGGAAATACGGGTCATTATAACAAAGGAAGGTCTCTTACCTTTGCGAATATTTTCTTTTTGTTTTTTTTTTTTAATGAAATAATATGAAAAAAACAAAGTAATTTAAAGGATTAGTGCGTAATATTAAAAAATAATGAGCCAGTTTTTGTTGATAACGAAATTATAAAAAATAAGACATTTAAATCTTCAAAGTTAATTAATTTACTTTAGAAAAAATAAAAATAAGTGTTCTACAGTTGTTTTTCTCACATTTTTATTGAAATATAAAAACTGAGAAACGTCCACGTTATTATTTTTACTTATCAGTAAAAACAAAAGTTAATTCATTGTAGATAATATCACCCGTAAAACCAGGGATGTAATTAATAAATGTAAAGTGACGCTTTCGAGTATACACCATTCTTAAATAATTCTAACCAGTGGCGTAGCTAACCATGAAGGGGCCCTGTATCAATAAAATATCGGGGCCCTTTTTGGGGTATTAAGAATACATATACAGTCGTAAAAACAAAAATTTATTTTGATACTTATAAACTAAACTTATGTGTATGATATAAACTGTATGTGCAAATAACTAAAAATTCTACGTTTTTAAATAATTACTTTTCTGGCCTTCATTTAGCCAAAAGCATTTATGATATCATCCATTGCTGATGACGATTTCAATTTTTCAAGTTCCTCTTTTTCTATGGACAGTATTGATAAAGTCGATCTTGTTTCATAGATGTCCTTAGATTTGTTTAAATGAGCTTCAATTTAGAAAAGCTTCTTTCAGCAGTTGCGGTTGTAACTGGAAACGTCAAAAATATAAAACATTCTGTTATAACCTCTGAGAAGCTAGAGGTGAGGCTATAATTTCATAACAAGCATATCTACAAGATCTTTAACTATGTGGACTTTTTGAATTTCAGATTTTCAGCAACTTTTGAAAGTAATTAGCTGCTCATATAAATTAACTGTTAAATCATTTTTATATTTGCTGGCCAAATTTGTTGTCTGATTTTGTATTTCTTCATTTGAAAATGAAAGTAATTTATCCGGTTGTAAAACGTCAGGTATATTATTCAAATTATGCAATGCCTGAAATCTTTCTTTTGTTTTAGCAATCAATATATCAGTACAGCAATAAAATATGTTGACTCTGAATATGTTGATTCGCTAGATTTAATAATCTAGCGAATGAGTTTTGACTTCGCATTTCTAACAGTCTATCTAAAAGGTTATTTAATAAAGTACTAGCTTTTTGTAAGTCATAAGTTTCGGACTGAAGGGCTTTGGAAATGGGATCTATGATTTCAAATAATTGAGAAAAAAAGTTCACGAGTACTATAAAATCATAATTCTCTAGCATGTTTATTATATTTTGACATTCGTCCCGTTTGATTTTTTTATTTGAAATTAAATTTAATTCATATAAAGTTTTTATTACTATCTGATAATTTTTTTTATTGCGAATAGAGCGACATTTCTTGATGACCATCTAGTAGGACATACTTTTTTAAGCGTAATTCTCTATGTTTCTGATGTAGCGCTATTCAGCATTGCCCAACGTTTTACGCTATTACCAAAAAATTTATATATTGTTTCCAAATTATCGAAAAATTGCACCACTTCGGGAATGTGCATAATAACATCATTTAAAACTAAATTGAGGGAATGTGCTGCACAATGGACGTAATCTGTATTTGGAGCGCGATTTTTTATAAGGGCTTGTACTCCTCCATACACACCCGACATTACATTCGCGCCATCGGCATCGTAGCCCTGCCCCCTACATTTAGATAAATCGAGTCCGTATCCTTGGATGGTACTAACAATATCGGATTCAAGTCCTACAGCCATACAATCGACTATTATTTACTATTACTATTTCATTTTGAATTGTGGGGCTTAAATAATTTATGGCACCTTTTGGTTTTAAAAGGAGTTCTTTTATGACAGCATCATAATTCGATAGCAAATATAAAACTGATATGAAATTTCCAGATTTGGCATCGTGACCTCTTTTGAATCTACCTCTCTCAGGGTAGATTGCAGGACGCTCAGGTAGTTTTGACATTAATTAGACGGTGCAGTACATTTCGCCAGAACATAATTTTACTATTGATTTCACTTCTTAAATAATTATCAATTGTTTTTCCTTGAAACCACCTGTTATATGATAGGGCTGAATTAATATGTTGTTATATTTTGCGTAAAATTGCTTCTAACCGAAACGCCATTAACCCAAGCAAGAGAATACGATTTTTTTGACGATCTGCTAATAACCAACAAACATGGCAATATGCTTTCTTCAAAATAAGAGAATAACACAACCATAACCTTTCAATTTTTATATCATCTTTATTTAAATATGTATAGTGAGCTGTTGAAATTGGGAGTGGGATTTTTTGGAAACGGTTCTTGAGGTTGAAATGGTCCCAATGTAAAAATAATTTTTTTTCGCAATTTGTCAGATCTTCACCAAAATTTCCTCTATCTGACGAAAATATGCTGTGAGATTCTTTGGTTCTTCGTATGTTTCAATAAAATATTCGCTCGGAGACTTCTGAACTTCTGTTATTTCAGAAGAATCTGCAAATTCAATTAAAATATATATTTTAATCTACTATCCTGGTTGGAATTTATTTCTAAAAAAAATTTTAAATGTTTAGTAACACTTACCAAAATTTTTGGTTCCAATATTAGATCCTCACCCTCATTATCAACCACTTCTGGCAAATCTATTAAAAAAATTTCTAAGTGCTTGTCAAAAATAAATACGAATACGAATAAATTAAAATACAATGAAGTAAAAAACTAAATTTACTAAAAAAATTAAACAATCGAATATCAGAAGTGTGTTTTAAATTTAAGCTTCAATTTACAAAAAATATTTATTCAAATAATTATATACAGGGTGATTCAAAAAACCGCTGACAGACTTCTAGAGTAGATAATACAAGAAAAATTAAGATGAATAGTCTTAATATATATCGGGTCACAAATGCCTGCTTAACGAGATATAGCGGGTCAAAGTTTCTTTAAAATTAAACATTATCTGCAATAAAAAGCCCTTTTTTAAAAATATTGTCCACGCCATTGCTAATTTTTTCAAACGGGCAGTATTTTCGTGTAAAGTGATCGATTATCTATCAATTGGTCTCTTGCAAAACATTGATCAAAACAATAGTTTTTAAGAAAAACACGTTTGTAGAAAATTTGTTAATCCAATCAAAAACTGTTGCTTTAATTGATGTATTACCTGCCCTAGAAGTCTGTCAGCGGCTTCTTGAATAACCCTGTATCAAGCAAATATATTATTTAATAGCTTTTTCTTAAATTTATGTAGGTACTCACCAAGAGAAATATTCAAATCTGTTGCACTGCTTGATTTCATCTTTTCTTTGTTTTTGTTTCCTTTTTAAAGCACCACTGGGGTAAACTCTCTTTTTTTCACTCATATTTGTTAAAATCACACACACAATCTTATTAAAACATAATAAAAAAAATTTACTACGGGTTTAAAAACTCTTTTTGTCGCCACACATTGAGAAAAGGGGTAATCCCCAGATGTCTGGAGAAATTTTTACTGAGAACTCTGCGTTTCATAAGCAATCACCACGCTGCGTTATTACAAACTATTATGGCCCGTAGAAGAGCCTAATTTTTATAGAAGTATTATTTTGTACAAGCAAAAGCTTATAGAACGGGAATTCATCGAGACAAAATTGGAGGTTGCTCGGTTGATGTCATAATTACAACGTATATCTATGAGCAAGCCTTGCTTTTGACCACTAGATGTCACCGCATTAATTTAAAATTTTGTTATTTTCGGAGTAATTGTGGACAATCCAAATATATAAATAATAAATAGTTTAAAAGAATTAAGTTGGATTGAGTTTGGGAAGCTTCTTTTGAAACTTGTAATGTAGGGACCCTCGAAGGTCGGGGCGCTTCAACCTCAGGGCCCTGTATCATTGATACAGCTGATACAGCGGTAGCTACGCACCTGATTCTAACACAAAGTTTTTTAACAGCTCACTCTTCATTGATATGAATCCCACAATCTCAAGGTTATATTCCTTTCCCAAACTGCCCAAAAAAAACATGCCCATTCGTCCCATAACCTCCTTTATAAAATCCCCTACTTATAAACTCAATTTATGCTTAATATCTTCAAAGTGATTTTTAAGAACAGTTTTGTTTATAAAAAAGTACATACTTTCTTCTATAAATGACCAGCATTCCATCAAGATATCTTAAGAATTCGATTTAGTTACGAATGTTACGACTTATAAAAAGTTAGGTTAAAAATAGTTAAACTCTTAAAATTGTAAAAATTCAAGTTGAGTTTATTAAATATTATCTCAAGAGTGAATTGAAAATTTTAGGTGCTGCTTAGTTCACTAAAAAGTACATATCTTCTTGTACAAACCATGAACATATTTATTATTTCATCAAGATATCTTAAGAATTCGATTTATCATTTATCAATTCGATTATCATGATTTTTTAAAGATGATGGGAAACAGTTGTTCATTATATGACAAAAAAATTTTGTTTGAATTCATTAATTATTATCTCAAGAAAAATAGCGATTTTTAAGAACAGTTTTGTTCTTAAAA